CACAATCGAAGACGATTCTACGGCAGCCGTAATCACAGGCTGAAAATCAGGGATCGTCGTGGGGATTGGGTCTACGTCGACAGACGGAAAAGCACAAATCGGCCGCACTACACCGGGAGTGGTGGAGGGGAANGTAATTCGTCCTGAGAGACAAGGGGGTTGATCTCGATCTCGCGAAAGTCTCTTAGCTCTACGGCAGGGGGGGGCACAATCGAAGACGATTCTACGGCAGCCGTAATCACAGGCTGAAAATCAGGGATCGTCGTGGGGATTGGGTCTACGTCGACAGACGACAAAGCACATATCGGCCGCACTACACCGGAAGTGGTGGAGGGGACGCTCGGACACGAAGGTACTACACCGTCGGATCCGGTGGGCTGGACGTCAGAAGTCGAAGGTACAACGCCGACCGATGCGACGGACTGGAAGCCGGGAGTCGAAGGTACAACGCCGACCGATGCGACGGACTGGAAGCCGGGAGTCAAAGGTACAACACCGACCGATGCGACGGACTGGAAGCCAGAAGTCGCACTCGCACTCGAACTCGAACCGTTGCCCGTTCCTGCACTCTGGAAAGGGGGGGGAGTGGCCGCAACAAATCCTGCGCCATTCGTGGACGCTGGCGCAGACAAACGGTGAGGGGCATCGGGGCTTGTGGTCACAGCATTACCACTGTAATCTTGGGGCAATCTAGTAGCCCAGAGCGAGCATCCCACGTCAGAGTACGCGAAGAAAATTTTACCATCAAAGAGATGTACACCTGTCTCGTCTAGGACGATCCGCTGCTTACGCTGCATGTGGTGCAACGAAAACAAATTGAATGTGATTCCAGGCACAACGTACACGTCCGACATCTGCACGCAAAAATCACGCTCTCCTCCCTGGTCTTGCATGTGGAAGGCCATGTTGACCGTCCCCAAACATTGTACGCACAAATAAGCACCGTTGCCAACCTGGATGTACTCCTTGCTTGTCGGCACTGGCCTCGAGTCAAACATCTGATGACTAGTGCTCACAAAAGTGTTCGTCGCACCACTGTCGGCCCAAAAATTCTCCCTGCCAAAGTGGGAAAGCGGGTTCTGCACAGACAAAGCAAATCCATTACCACTCTCACGCTCGGTACTCGCTACAACACCACTCGGAACGATCTCGCCTGCAGACACGAAACGTGCCATCAAGAAGTGAAGGGAGCCCGGGGCCGGTGCTGCTGCTCCGGGAGGAGATGAGTGGGGTGGGGCATGAGTCGAGTGCTGCTGCTGCGGCGGCGGCTGCTGCTGCTGGAACGTCTGCGGAGGCGGAGGCTGTGGCGGCGGCTGCTGCTGCTGCTCGTAGTAAGGTGTCGGTGGCGGGTAGTACGGCTGCTGCTGCTGGGTGTAGTCAGGCGGAGGCTGCTGGTACTGTTGCTGCGGCTGCTCCCAACCCCATACTCGCTACTATTTCCTGGCCCCCCGTAGGACGCGGCACCGTAATCGTGGTGCATCACGTTTGCATGCCCGTGCGGGGGTCGCCATTGCTGCTGCTGCGGGCGAGGGGGGGTTGAGTTTCCATACCTTGGCTGCGCTCCGCGTCCGCCGTGAGGNTGCTGCTGCTGCTGCTGTTGAGGTTGCTGCGGGTGTTGTTGCTGCTGCGGGGGCTGTTGCTGTTGCGATGACTGCTGCCGCCGCTGCTGATGCTGCTGCCTTCGCCCTTTCTTCCGCTGCTGTTGATAGCACTCCGCGTTGGTGTAGGTTCCATACGGATGAAGGTGACAGTGCCGTTCTGCTCTGGTCTCGTCGCTCCTGCTCCGACCGTCGCCTTTGCCGTCCTGTCCGCCGCCGTTCCCACTCGACCCATTTGGGACACGTCCGTCGCCCCGGGGCGCACCGGAAGCGACGAAGGCGGGCCTCACGCCATTCTTTTGTTCCTCCTCCCGTGCGCGCACCAGGTCCATGTGGGCCTCCTTCACGGAATCCTCTATCTGCTCGAAAGTCAAATCAGGGGTGCGGTCCAACAGTTTCTTCTCTAATTTGTAGTCGGATGACAGGGTGGACACCAAGTGGTCGTTGGCTTCGTTGTCGGGATACACTGTCCCGTGCGACGCTAGCCTACTCCACAAAATACAGAACCTCCCGAAGTATTCTTGTGGGATTTCACCCTCATGCATCGCGAAGCTATGGTACTCCTTCAAGAGTCTCTTTTCCTCTGCTTTCGCGTGGGGCTCGTAATACTTGAGGAAAATCCTCCATCCCCCACTCGGACTTCCGTCTGACACGATTTCCGACAAGATCGGCATGTATGAGATTGACGTGATGAGTAATTTCCACGGCACTACAGCCTTAGCTACCTTCTGATCGCTATACTCAGTCTTCAGGTCTACCATGCTGATTCCTTACCTCCCTACTGGGTTGTCCTGGTCGCTCATTACTACCTCGTGAACCTCCTCCTGTGCAAACCGTGCTACCATGCTCGATCTGAAAATCAAAAAGCTTCTGCTGCCTGTTGTCCCCCTGCTTAAACACACCATCCCAAGGCTCAATTCGTCTACTCTCAGTCATTCGGAGTGTTGCAGGATGAGGTACTGCATCGATGCCCCCTGATAAGGTCTGGAGGCGACCGGCCATGGCAGTCGCAATCGCGTTGGCCAGCTCGTCTGCGGAGGGGTTGGGCGATGGGCCCCCAGTTTCTTCTTGCTGGTGTGGTACCCCTTGTTCCTCGTTCCCGCTCCGGAGACCTTCTGTGCTCTTCTGCTCGGCTCGATGCCGCACCTCCATCTCGGCCATCTTCTTGGCCAGTTTCTCCTCCATCATCTGCTCCATCCGAGCTGCTACTCTCTCGTTGACCAGTTCTTCGATCCTGGCGTCCTCCGCTGCTTGGCGGGCCTCCGCTGCTTGGCGGGCTTCATCTTCGCGCCTGGTAGCCATCTTGACCCTGCTCTCGATCGCCGCAATGCGATAATCCTAAACCAAGCTCGACCGCGAATCTCGTAGACGACGTGTCATATGCTAGCGTGATTGATAATTCGGGTGGCTCAGTTGTGTGTGATGGGAGTGTAGAGCGGCTCGGCCATGACGGGCCGTAG